TCTTCAGCTCAAGGCTAGCACTCTACCACTTGAGCCACAGTGCCACTTCCGGCTTTTTTCTTTTTGCTTATGTGGTGCTGGGGAATCGAACCCAGGGCCTCAGGCATGCAAGGCAAGCGCTCTACCACTGAGCCACCTTCCCAGCCCCTTCTTTTTCTTTTTATCTTAGTTAAAATGTCTGTTTTGTAGTAACAATTTTAAAACATGATTGTCTTCACCAGATTCAATTCGGGAATTATTATTCTATACTTAAGTCTAGGAAAGTAAGAAAAATGACTAACTGTTCCTTTGATAGATGACCGAGCTCCCAATGAACAAATGAAATTCCTTTAGACACAGCCTGTTTACACCTTAATTACATTAAACATTTTAACTCCACTTATAAATTTAATATGTTTGATTTTCTGTTTTAAACACTTTAGTTGCATAACCTAACAAGCATAATTTCCCCAAGGATACTAGTTAGTAGCAAATCTAATTAATTCTGCTAATACAGAATCTTACGTTGTTGCAAACATTTCAATTCTTTTTACAGACTTTGCCAAATTTTAATTTCAATGGCTCTTTTCTGAGAACTAAAAATAAATAAAGGGATAGGTATGGCTCAAGTTGTAGAGTACTTTCTTGAAAGCAAGAGATCCTGAATTCAATTCCTAGTACCACCAAAAGGAAAATATAATATATATTATAGAGAGAGACTTTATCTCTGGCATAATATCTGAATATGAGGGGCCACCTTAAGTATCAGAACAGCCCAGTGTTTCCAATCATTGCTGACCTTTCAACCTAAAAATTACAAGCCTATCAATTACTGACATATTTGATCAGTTACCTTACCATATTTTAACTACTTTATCTTAAATTGGAAACACAATGCTTACCTGTCAGATAGTCACCATATAAAATTATTTTCAATGTTGAAAATGCCTCTAAATAGCCAGGCACCGGTGGCTCATGCCTGTAATCCTAGCTACTCAGGAGGCTGAGATCTAAGGATCAGGGTTCAAAACGAGCTCAAGTAGGAAACTCTGTGAGACTCTTATCTCCAATTAACCATTCAAAATGGGAAGTGGTGCTGATACTCAGTGGTAGAATGTTAGCCTTGAGCAAAAGAGCCCATGGACAGCACCCAAAGCCCTGAGTTCAAGCCTCAAACAACAACAAAACTTCTAAATACCAAAATGGACATTCCTGTTCTTGTTTGATTGCTCTTTGAAATTTTTTTTGAGGGGGATGGAAGTTTTGGGATTGAACTCAAGAGTGTCAAGCTTACTAGGCAGATCAGCCATACCTTCAGCCTTGACCTTTTTTTTTTTTTTTTTGATCGGTCATGGGGCTTGAACGCTGGGCTTTGGTGCTGTCCCTCAGCTGTTCAGCTCAAGGCAAGCACTCTACCACTTGAGCTGCAGTACCACTTCCGTTTTTCTGGTGGTTAATTGAAGATAAGAGTCTCACGGACTTTTCCACCAGCACCTAGAGTTATTTTGGGGCCTTGAACTGGAAATCCTCCTGCCTTAGCTGGGATTATAGTAATACGTCATGGTGCTCATCTTTTGACTAGACCAGAGGATTTGTACAGTGAGTTTTAATTACATTTCTTTTTAATTCTCAACTTTCTTGCAGTATGGCAAGACAAATACACAGTAAGAAAAAGTCTTTTTCAAGTGGGGTGTGGTATTACATGCCTATAATTCTAGCATTTGGGAAGCTGAGGCAGGATGGACAGTTGGAGGCCAACCTAGACTGCATAGCAAGGGCCTGTCTCACATACCTACACACTCACATTTCTGTACGTGATGTTTTGAATCC